ACATATGATAGAAGTTCCCTGAAGCCACATTGCACTTCCAACATGCGAAGAATTTCCCTTATTGATTCGTGCTAATCTAGTGGGGGGGAAGTGCCACCTATACAACATCTTATATAAATTTTCCTTATATGAAGTTGCTAATGTAATTTTTAATTTTTTTCCCCAGAGAGTCTGCCAATTGCCCAAATCAATACTATGCCCAAAATATTTGCTCCAAATTATTATCGTTTCTTTGACTTGTTCCTCAATCCCGTTGTACTTACGGGACCGCCTTCTGCCACCGATAGCCTCCCACCGGCCTGTACGCTCCTACAGAGAGGGACTCCTCAGGGTGCCGTCGGCCAGACAATGTTGGCTGGTGACCCCCAGGGGGAGGGCCTTCTCTGTGGCAGCACCTGCCCTCTGGAATGACCTGCCCCTGGAGATAAGTAAGATACCAGATCTCCGTACTTTTCACCGTGCCCTTAAAACTTTTTTATTTCATCAAGCTGGGCTGGCGTAAACCCCCCCCCTTAGATATTTTTAGATATTTTTAGATATTTTTAGATATTTTTAGATATGGAACGAGAAGAAGCCGAGAGTGAAATTGAAAATTATGCAAGATGTTCCAGAAAGAGGAGGTCTTAAACTTCCAAACCTACAGCTATATTATGATGCAGCAGCTTTAACTTTAACAAGTGATTGGTTTGGAAGTAAAAAGGCTGGAATATTGAATGCAGAAAGTTTTGATCTTGAATTTGGATGGCATGCTTACTTATTTTACGACGACAAAGTAGATAAAGTATTTAAAAGTCATATACTTAGAGACTCTTTGATGAGAGTTTGGAAGAAGCACCGACTCAAATGGGATTATAAAATACCGCTATGGCTGGATCTTCGTCATACTTTGTGGAATACAAATATAATGTCACTCGGGGGGTTTTATATAAAGAGGATCAGGTACTGAAAAAGCAAAAGACAGGAGAAGGAGGAGGCAGAGAAAGTGATTTGTCACTATACATATAACAACTCTTATTGCAGAAAGAAAAGTAAATGTGTAATTCTGGTCCAGAAGCCAATGTTTAAGCCCTTTACCTTAGGGGTGACTTCCTTTTCCCCTTAGGAAAGCAATTGGAAAGGCAGGATTTGTGTTGGGGATATGTGGTCAAGTGGTATTGTAAACAGTCAGGTTTGTGATTTTCGACAAGCCCTCCCACCTTTCCCTTCAAAATGTGACCATTAATGAATAATTAATTTGTTAAAACAATTAATCCCTTTTAATAATTTAAACAATACAGCCAAAAGACGAACAGAGGTAGATGTAAGCATTTCGTATAGACTCATCAGTATCTACATTACAATAACACAGTTAAACTCAGCCTCAAATATAACATCTAGCAAGAGCACTAATTAAACCTATAAGGTATGCAGGAAAGCAACCAATGACAAGCCTTATGCCCATGGGAGGCGTAGATTGACATAAAGCTATTTCTGCATGCACAAGGGAGGCTTCAAATGGTTAATGGCACCTCAGCAAACCACAGGAAACTAGAGTTCCTGTGGCACAGTAGAACTTTAAACACAGAGTATGGATCCACCTGGTGGCCTGTAGCTAGTAAGTGTCTTGAAATGGCCGAAGAAGGCATTTTATGGCCATGATTTGCTGTTGTTGTTGGATTACTCAAGACTATCTGCACCCATTTCGAAAGATGCTCTTTTATTCTGAAAGTTAAACACCTATCAGTTCTGCCAATGTAATTATCTCCACAATTACAAACAAATTGGTAAACACAATGAGTTTTGGCGCTGATAGGTTGTGCTTCCTTAATTAGGGGCAGGGGTAGCCTCTGGGTTTGATGTAATATGTGAAGCTCAGCCATACTGAAAGTTGCTTCAATTTGTTTGTAAAAGTACAGATGACAGACTCAACAATTCCTCTGGTGCAATATGAACTTCCTAAGTGTCAGCCTCCTCCTTTATATTGCTTGCTTGCTTCGGCTGCCATTGTAACGGGGTGAGGGGGGAACTGTCTGGGTATTTGGGAGGGGGGAAGTGAGCTGGTGGAGATGTCTCGTAACAGGGAGTGAATTGGAGAAAGTTTTCCTCAGTGCTTTCTCTTTAGCTGGAAGGCGTGCTGATAACCAGTCAAGGTCAACCGTCCTGACATACCAGAAGGATGGAGCCATCTGAAGCTGCACCCCACATGACACTTTGGGGGGATGTGGATTGGATAATCCTGACTGGACCCTGGGGACCCTGGGGAGGGTTTTGGGGATGCTTTCTATATGTGATTTTTGCGCCTATTGCCTCAGACCTTGCTTTTCTTTGGTTGCATTCAGTTCATACCCAGTAAAAGTACCTTTCGCTATAAAAATGGAGTCAGGATTTTTCTTTCTTGAGTACTAAAAGGAGGCATACCTGACATTAAGCAAGGTCTGAAATTAACAGCCATCCAGGAAAAGCTATTGTGGGGGCTGAGCAAAGAATGTCTGACCAAGACAGTGACCAGGAGGACATGGGGGCTGCTGGATCCACTACCTCCCAGTCATGCCCCAGCTGGGAAGCTTTGGAGTGGATGGCTGATTTACAGCTTGAGGAAAAGCCAGTGAGAGCCAAATGGTCTCTGGGCATGGGAAGGTTGCCAGAGCTGGAGGAGAACCTCCCCCCCCCAGGAATAACAACTAACAGACGCCGACACGCAGATGCTGCCTGGCAGGAAGAGCAGAAAGAAGATCTCCTGCTGACCCAGGCTCTACAACTACTGAGAGAGGCTTGTGAGAGTCAAAGAGCCTGTGAAAGGTATGGAAAGCCTGCCCATGGATTGCATGCCAGTGGGGAAGCTGATTGTCCCGGGGGTGAAATTGAGACTTCATCTTGGAAGAGAGATCCAAAGCCTGGGAAGAGGCAGTTCAGGCCTCTGGAACTCAAACAGTGGCTGCGATCCAGGGCCCCCCTGCTAGGCAGGCATTGCCACGGGGGCAGAAAAAGCCCAAAATCCCCTTGCTATCACTAAAATATGGGGAAGATCCAAAAGGACTGGGGTTCTTCTTAACCCAAGTGTGGAACCACATGCAAGAATGGGGGGAGGATTTTACCTCAGATGCCGCACGCATGAGATGCGTTACCAAGGCCCTGGACTGAAAGACATGCTAGCCCACCTGGCCAAGGGGAAGATTTTTTCTAAATTGGATTTACAGGAGGCTTATTATAGAGTTCGGATTAAAGAATGTGACAAATGGAAAACAGCTTTCAATTGCCCACTGGGATGTTTCCAGTTTAGGGTGCTCCCTTTCGGATTACAAGGGCCCCACAGTATTCATGCAACTGATCAATGAAGTGCTGCATGAGCACCTTTACAAGGGGGTCTTGGTTTACCTGAATGACATTCTTATTTACACAGAGACCATAGACGAACACGTAAAGCTGGTGAGAGCTGTCCTGAAAAAACTTAGAGCTGCTGAGCTGTATGCTAAGTTGTCAAAATGTGAATTCCACCAGACTAAAATTGACTATTTGGGGTACCGCATCTTGCATGAGGGGATAGAAATGGACCCGGAAAAAGTTCGGGCAGTCCTGGAATGGGCGCTGCCACGTACCCGCAAACGACTACAAAGCTTCCTGGGATTTGCTAACTTCTATCGACAGTTCATCCCCTCATTCGCAAAGATTGCCTTACTGATTACTAACCTCCTGAAAACAAAGGGAGAGGCAAAGCCAAAACCTTCCCGGCCTCTCAAGTGGACTATGAAATGCCAGGCGGCCTTTGAAAAACTGAAACGACTGTTTGCCGCCGAACCGGTCCTTAAACACCCTGACATGGAGGCCCCATTTGTCGTCCAGGCTGACGCCAGCGATGTGGCCGTTGGGGCAGTGTTACTTCAAGCTAATGCCGAGGGAAATTTACAACCCTGTGCCTATACCTCTCGGAAACTATCTGAAACCGAGAGGAGATGGGCTATCTGGGAGAAGGAGGCTTTTGCTGTTCGCTGGGCGTTGCTAACATGGAGGCACTTCCTGGAAGGGGTGAAGCACCCTTTTGAGGTGTGGACTGATCAAAAAAACTTAGAGGCCCTAAAAACACCCCGGAAGTTGTCACCTAAGCAAGTCCGCTGGGCCCAACACTTTAATCGCTTTAATTTCTCTCTGCGCTACCTTCCTGGGGGAAAGAACTTTATGGCAGATGCTCTTTCAAGACTACCTCAATACAATAGTGCTCAGGCGGAAGTGATTCATCCAGTTGTCCCCTTGAAACATCTGGCTGCTCCAGTAGTTACCAGAGCCCAGGTGAAAGGGGACCTAACCTTGTCCGGCGACTTGAGCGAGCAGTTAAAAGAAGCCTTAAAAACTGATGAGTGGTTTTTAGCCCACTCCAATGAGTGTACACTTCATGAGGATCTCGCCTGGGTGGGAGTGAAGCTGTACAGTATGTCCCCACCAGCCTGAGGGGAGCGGTGTTACAACACGCCCATGATGCTAAAATCGCTGGGCATTTTGGGTTCGTAAGGACATTACACTTAGTTAAATGACAATTCTGGTGGCTGGCTCTAAAGAAAGACATAGAAGCCCACGTATGTGCATCAGCGAAGAAGCCTCCTGGGAAACCTCCTGGCTTACTTCAGAGTGTAGCCAGAATGGGAGCCCCATGGAAGGAGATATCCATGGATTTTATTGTTGAATTGTCCGAAAGTGGGGGAAATATGGTCATTTGGGTGGTTACAGATTTGTTTTCCAAGCAAGTGCATTTTATACCATGTCCCAAGATCCCTTCAGCTAAAACTCTGGCTAAACTGTTTGTCCAGCATGTGTATAGACTACATGAGGTTCCAGAGTGAATAATCTCGGACAGAGGGGTTCAGTTCACCTCCCACTTCTGGAAAGAGTTCCTGGGGTTGTTAGGCTCTGCCCAAGAGTTAAGCTCTGCCCACTATCCTCAGACCAATGGGGCTTGTGAAAGAACTAACTTGGTATTTGAACAATACCTTAGATGTTATATAAATTATCAGCAGGATAACTGGGCGGACTTGTTGCCGTTTGCAAAGGTCGCCTATAATAACTCTATACACAGCAGTACTGGTTTTACCCCGTTCAAGGTGGTCTCAGGTCAAGACTTTGTACCCATCCCAGAGTTGCCTCAGGAAAAACCACAAATACCTTCATTGGCTGATTGGATTGAACAGCTACGTGGTACCTGGACTGTAACACGTGAAGTCCTGGATGAGGCTCACCGAGCCCATAAAAAACAAGCTGATAAGAAAAGAATCCAGGGTAGGGATTACAAAGTAGAAGATAGAGTTTTCCTTTCCACCAAGTACTTACAAACTACCCAAAAGTCAAAAAAACTAGGGCCTAAATATGTGGGTCCTTTCCCTATTGTACACATGGTAAATCCAGTTACGGTGCAGTTAGAATTACCTAAAACCTTGCGGAGGATTCACCCTGTGTTTCATGTTAGTTTATTGAAACCCAAGCATACTTCCTTGAGGAAAATGGAGACACTGACTGTTGGCTGTTAAAGAAAAGCCTGTATGGATTGAAGCAGTCAGGTTATGAATGGAACCAGTGCATTGTAAAAACACTGAATAATATTGGATTTAGAGCAGGATTAGCAGATCCATGTTTATTCAAAATGGAAAGAGATAATACAGTATCATTATTACTTCTATTTACAGATGATATAGCTTTAATTACAAAGAATGAGCAAGAGGCCAATAAGATTGTTAATGAATTAGCATCTCATGTCAGAATTAAAAATCTAGGGGAGATACAACAATACCTAGGTATTAGAATTGAAAAAACTAGGGGAGGATTTAAATTATCTCAAACTGATAAAATTAATAATCTATTGAAACAATTCAGAATGGAATTGTGCAAACCATCAAAAACTCCTATGGTTCAAGACTATTGCAACACTGCTGTGCAAAGTCCAGTGTTTGATAAAGGGATATATCAATCATTAATTGGCAGCTTATTATACATTAGTAATTGGACTAGACCCGATATCGCTTATAGTGTGAACCAATTAGCTAGATACAACATGCAACCTACAGAATTTCACTGGCAAGGTGCAAAACGTATCCTTAGATATCTAAAAAACACCATGCATCATGCTTTATATCTGCAACCAGCAGAAGAATTGCGTGTAACCGCTTATGCAGATGCTAGTTTTGCTACAGATGTTCATACAAGAAAATCAACGTCAGGAATAGCCATATTTCTGGGAAAATCTTTGATAGGGTGGCATTCAATAATACAGAAACATCTGAGTCTGTCTACAATGGAGGCAGAGTTTTCTTGTTTGTCTTTGTTATGTACAGATTTGATCAGTATTAAACAACTAATGATAGATCTAGGAATAGATATACAAGATCCTATAATAGTCCATGAAGATAACCAAGCAGCGATAAAAATGGCTACAAATATAGCCGTGAAGACTAGAACAAAACATACAGATCTTCGATATCTCAATGTAAGGGAATGTATAAAGAACAAAATGATTGAACTTGTATATTGTGCTTCAGAAGACAACGTGGCAGATCATTTCACGAAAGCACAGGGAAGTAGAAAACATTTAGACACATGTGAACAGTATGGTTTAAGATCGTAGATATATCAGTCTATCCAAAGGGGAGAATGTTGGATCCTTATTCTACAGTTGGGTAGATAATATATTGTAAATGTGTACTATGACTTTAACTACTGTAAACTAACTAATTGAGTAATTGGTTGAAACGGAAATATAAGGAAGGCAGTAAGCTCAGCAGTTTTTTCCCTTCCCCCCTTTTCCTTCGCTCGCTCGCTTATGCTTTGCTGCTGCTGCTACTGCTCACTCCTACTCGTGATGTTATTGCTGAGAGATATTGTGTCAGAGTTACGGAACTAGAAATGTAAGCAACAATGTTTTGTATTGAAAGCTTTATCTTTGTTTACGAGAAGCTTTGTTTGAACTACCACAGTAAAGACTATTCTATTTTACTAAAACGTTCAGAGTTTGGAAGTATCTGTGTTGCAACGCTGCCTGGTATACCGCTGTACTCTGCAGAGGGCAGTTTACCCTCAACACTTCCCCCCTGTGTTTGGACCATGAACCTCCTCCTATCCCCATACTCATTGAAGGAGAACAACATTTTGAGATTAAAGAGATATTGGACTCTAGGAAACATCAAGGGAAGGTGCAGTACTTGGTGGCCTAGAAACATTTCCCCTCATCTCAATCTGAAAAATGAGTGAGATGTTAGACCTCCGAGGCAGTTGAAATTGTTTTATTCCAAATATCCTGATAAACCTTAGTTATGGGACTGTACATATGTTACCTCTTTATGCGATCTTCTCTATTCCTTTTGTTCTGTTCTCTTTCTAGCTAACATCTCTTCTGCAGGAGGGCCGAATGTCAGCCTCTGCCTCTATATTGCTTGCTTGCTTCAGCTGCCATTGTAACGGGGGAAGAGGGGAGCTGTCTGGGTATTTGGGAGGGGGGAAGCGAGCTGGTGGAGATGTCTTGTAACAGGGAGTGAATTGGAGAAAGTTTTCCTCAGCACTTTCTCTGCAGCTGGAAGGCATGCTGATAACCAGTCAAGGTCAACCATCCTGACATACCAGAAGGATGGAGCCATCTGAAGCTGTGCCCCACATGATACCTTGGGGGGATGTGGATTGGATAAGCCTGACTGGACCCTTGGGGGAGGGTTTTGGGGATGCTTTCTATATGTGATTTTCGCGCCTATTGCCTCAGACCTTGCTTTTTTTTGGTTGCATTCAGTTCATACTCAGTAAAAGTACCTTTCTCTATAAAAATGGAGTCAGGATTTTTCTTTCTTGAGTACTGAAAGTTGACGTAGGAAGAACGTTCTTTGTTGTGTCTTTGTAATGATGGTTCTAATGTTTGGTGTCCAGAATATTCATGAACTGGAATAGAGACATGGTAACAAGGTCAGCCAATGAATAGGGCTTAGTAACAAGGTCAGCCAATAGGAGCTGAGACAGGAAGGAGCCTGGGTGTGGCTCTGTAGCTCTGAATGCTGTGCTGAGAATTGAAATTGAAACTAGTGTGTCTGCAACTCTGAACTGAAAACTGTTCTCTCCTCTGCTGTTGGTATTGTATATTTATTTTCATGTGTTCTATTATATATAAAGAGAATTAAATGAATCCTGCTGCATCAGTTACCTGCGTGGGCTTTCTGGATTTGATTTCTGCAACAAACTGACACATTTCAAATCCTGGGAAATTATAGAACCCCAAAACATGAAGGATTCTACAGCTAATACTGTGCTGTCAAATATAGTAAGAGGTGTAGAAAAGAAGGGCTCCTCCTAAAATCCCATCTCTTCAGTTTTAAGCATGTTCAGCACCAGATTGTTCCAGCTGCATTACAGGACCAGTTGTTCGATTTCCCATCTATATGCAGGCTCACTACTGTCTCAAATGAGACCATCGACTGTTGTATGTAAACAAAAAGTTCGAGTATACATTTTGTCAAAGATATCGCAACTGTAATGTGTGTTCTTATTTGTGTTTTGACTCTTCCTTGTTTGGTCTTACTCATATATCTATCTTTGTGATTCACTGTTAGCTTATGTTAGTGATTTATGTTCCTGTTTCTGTGACTCCAATTGCTCCCTATTCTTTTTTCCTTTTTCTATTTTCCAACCAAATGTACCCCTTTTCCCATACTAGATAATAATCGTGTTTCTCCTTATCTTGTAGTTCCTTTGTGAGTCTCTCCATTTCTGCACATTCCATGATTTTACTAATTACTCTATCTTCTGTTGGTGTGTCACTATTCTTCCAATTTTGTGCAAAAATTATTCGTGCTGCTGTTGTTATATGTATGATTAAGTATTTTATTTCCTTTTCATATTGTCCATTTATTATACCTAATAGAAAGGTTTCCAGCCTCATTTCTAATCTTCGTTGTGTGATTTCTTCTACTTGTGTTCTGATCATTTGCCAGTATTGTTTTGTTTTTGGGCAGGTCCACCACATGTGATAGGTTCCTTTGTGAAGTTTACATTTCCAGCATGTTGGAGAGGTGTTGGGAAACATTCTTGCCAGTCTTGCCGATGGGAGATGCCACCTATAGAACATTTTGTACAGATTTTCCTTATATGGTACCGACATTGTTAATTTATAATTTATTGTCCATAATTTTTCCTAATTATCTAATTGAATATTGTAGCCGAAATTCTTTGCCCAGATTATCATATTTTCTTTGACCACCTCTTCTTCTAATTTGTATCCTCGTAAGTAATTGTAGACTTTTTTAGTCAATTTATCCTGTGGTCCTTGTAAGATTTTATCTAATTCGTATTGGCCTTTTTGGAATCCAAATTGAGCCAAATCTTTCTTATATTTTGATTTTATTTGTAGATATGGCCACCAGTCAATGTCCATACCCATCTCCTTCAATTCTTCTCTTGTTCTTAATTCCCCTCGGTTGTTTAGTAAATCTTTATAGGTTCTCATTTTGGTGATGTCCATAGCATTTGGGTAAATCTGGGCTTCCATGGTCGATAACCATTCCGGGACCTTATTGTAGTGTGTTTTTTTGATGCCCTGCCATGTCTGATATAGTGTTTGTCTGACGATGTGCCTCTGAAAATATCCATGCTGTTTATCGGTGCCCTCCCACAGAAATGCGTGCCATCCTCGTTGTAGGTCGAATCCTTCCAAAGTCAATAATCTTTTATTTTTAAGTTCCATCCATTCCTTGATCCAAATTAGTGCTGATGCTTTATAATATATTTCCCAGTCCAGTAGTGCCAGTCCTCCTCTTTCTCTTGTATCTTGTAGGTGTTTTGTTTTAATTCTTGCTTTCTTCCCTTGCCATATGTAGTCTGCTATTAATTTATTAAAATCCTTAAAGAAATTCTTCCCCAGTTTCATTGGAATCACTTGGAATAAGTATAAAATTCTAGGTAGAACATTCATTTTAATTGAGGCGACTTTTCCCAAAAGAGATAGTTATAGTTTTTTCCAAATTTCTAAATCTTTTTTAATTTGTCTTGCCAATTTATCATAATTATCCTCTCTAATTGATGAGCTTTTATTGGTAAGCCATATTCCTAAGTATTTTACCTTCTTTGTCATTTCTATATCTAATTGGTCTTCTAATTCTTTTTCTTGTTGGTTAGTGAAGTTTTTCGTTAGTATCTTTGTTTTTTGTTTATTGATTTTGAGTCCGGCTACACTCCCGTATTTTTCTATTTTATCTAATAATTTAGTGCCAGTTGTTATCGGTTGTTCTATGATGAATACCATGTCATCGGCGAAAGCTTGGAGTTTGTATTCCTCCCCTTTGATTTTCAGACCTTTTATTTCTTTATCTCTTCTGATCTCCTTTAAGAGAGTTTCTAAGGCTAATATGAATAACAGAGGGGACAGAGGACACCCCTGTCTCACTCCTTTTGATATCGGAAATTGTTCCATCAAGTCGCCATTTATTGTTATTTTTGCCGTTTGGGAGGAGTAAATTTTCTTTATCATATTTATGAATTTGTTGCCGAATTTCATAGCTTCCAATTGCAGTACAAGAAATTTCCAATTTAGGTTGTCAAATGCCTTCTGTGCGTCTAAAAAGATTAGGGCCGCTTGTTTATCTGAATTTATTTCATAATATTCTAATACGTCCATTATTAATCTCATATTGTTTTTTATCTGTCTCTTTGGGATAAAGCCATTTTGATAAGAGTGAATGTATTCATTAATTATTTTCTTAAGTCGTTCTGTAATAATCAATGTAAATAATTTTTAGTCCACATTTAAAAGTGATATCGGTCTGTAATTTTTAATATGTGTATGGTCTGTCTCTTCTTTTGATATCAGTGTAATAATAGCCTCTGTCCAGGAGTTAGGAATTGTAGCTTCATTCAGGACTCCAAGTAAAATTTCATCTATTACGTGTTGTCAAGATTTGTAAAACTCTACAGGTATACCGTCCGGTCCTGGGGTTTTATTTGTTTTTTTTTCCTCGCCTCTGTTAGTTCTGTCATCATGATTGGCCTGTCCAATAGGTCCCTATGTGTTTCTTCTAGTTCTTTGATGTCAGCTTCTTTTAAATATTGTTTGATGTCCTCTTCTGAGGACTCTTCCTGTTCATACAATTTTTGGAAAAATGTTTTGGCTATGTTCTTTTTATCCTTATTCCTATAATATATCTCTCCTGTGTCGTCCTGTAATTGATATATTGTCCTTCTCTCTTTTTCTTTCTTCAATTTGTACGCCAGCCATCGTCCTGTCTTGTTCGCGTGTTTGAAATGGTTTTGTTTTATTGATTCAATTTTCCTGGCTATTTCTGTTTGTGTGATCAAATTTATTTTGTGTTTTGTCAAGTTTATTTTTTCTTTGATCGTTTTGTTTTGAGGTTCATTCTGTAGCTCAGATTCATATTTTTTAAGATCTTTCAATAAATTGTCTTTCTTCTGTTGTTTTTCCTTGTTCTTCTTTGCCAAATATGCTATTGTCAGGCCTCTTATATAGGCTTTTGCTGTGTCCCATAAGTTCTGGAGGGAGGTTTGCTCTTTAATGTTGATTTCAAAAAATATTTTCATTTCTTTTTCTATCATTTGTACATAGTCTTTATCTTTCAAAATCTCAGTGTTCATCATCCATCTCTTCTTCTTCCGATAGCCTTTCCAAATTATTTTTATGGGACTGTGATCTGCCCAAATATTTGTCATTATTTCTATTTCTTCTAAGTCTTTCCTAAGATCCATGATCATCCAGGCCATATCTATTCTGTGCCAGGATGAGTGTGGATTGGAGTAAAAGGTATACTGTTTTTTTTCTTTATTTATTTCCCTCCAAGCATCCTGGAGGTACAGTTATTGCGCCATTTCCCTAAAGGTATCTGGAAGGGTCTTTTTCCTAGTTTTATTTTTCCTGGTACTCCAATAGTCTTTTTCCGTGTCTGAAATTGCATTGAAATCACCTATCATGCAAATGTTTTCGTAGTCCAGATCTTTTACTTTGTTGTGTATGTTTTTGAAGAAAGCACGTTGATTCTCATTTGGCGCGTAAATCAAAATCAATAATATTGTTTTTAATTCCATTTGTAATTCGATCATTAAAACTCTTCCCTCCTCGTCTGCATATACCTGTTTTGATTTTAGGTATTTCCTAATGTAAACTGCAATGCCTCTTTTCTTTTGTTCTGCTAGTGAGGTGTAAAGGTTTCCTAATCTTGTATTTTCTGATATCTGTTGGTGTTGTTTTTTGATATGGACTTCCTGTAAGTTTATTATATCCATCTCCATTTTTTGTAATTTGGTAAATGTCCGGGTTCTTTTAGTTGGGGCATTTAACCCATTTATATTAATTGAAATCATTTTTATTTCCTGTTCCATTTTTCTTCCTATTTATTTGTTGTCTTTGGTTTCCTTGTGTTTCTTGTTATTCTTTGCGTTTTTCCCCTTGCTCCTTCTTTCTCCATTCTTTCTCTCTCCAGTCTTCTCTTCTCCTCTTGTTCCTCTTCTGTTTCTTCTGTAGGTTGTTCCTCTTGGCTCTTATTCTCCGATTCCTCTCTGGATTCTTGATCTTCCTCCAGGATGAAGTGTTGGTCAAAAAATTCCTGGGCTCCTTCCAGACTATCTATCTTAAATTTCTTGTCCTGCTACGAGATTAAGATGCCCTCTGGTAGCAGCCAACGGAACATCACTTTGTGTTTATTTAGTTGTGTTGTGAGGAAGCTGTAGTTTTTCCTCTGGTCCCTTACACATCTCGGAATTTGTTTCAGTGTTATTATTTCTTTCCCTTTGTAGAAAATCGCGTCTTCTCTCATTTTTCTGTATATCTCCTCTTTTATCGTTTTCTTTGTAAATTGGACGTGTACTTCCTTCATCCTATTTTTCCTCTCCCTTACCTGAATATATATCTATATATCTAATTAATTATTAATTACTAGAGTGTTAAGGATATTTATAGAAGTAATTCATAATCCAATAAGATTAACTTTTATTTTGAAGACCTACACCATATAGACCATAGACCTTAGACACTATTACTGATAAAATACTATCATAAATAATGATATTGAAACACAAATAAGAATAGTCCAGTGCATGAAATTTTGGGAGAACCTACAAAAAAGAGTTAAGATGACAAGTACTGGAACAACCACCATAACCAAAGCGAATAAGAAAATAATTTCAAACCAAGCCTCCCCTACAGCATCCCCTGCCCAACAGAGGTCTATAGAAACCATGCTTGGAACAGAAAAAGAGAAGATGGGCTCTATTTCCAGTATGCAAAATATTCAGTCAATTTTGGCAATGATACAGGAATCGATGAATAAGACCCAGGAAACAATTGCTAATAACCATGAGGAGACAAAAAGAAAACACGATGATCTGAAATCCGATGTGGGAGAGATAAATGATAACATAAAGAAAATGGATGACAAGATAGAAAAGATCCAGCAAAACATTGCCAAAAACGAACAAAGGATTCAAAAGACAGAAATCAAAATGGAACAGACAGTTAAGAAAGTAGAAATGCTGGAACAACAACAAATAGCAAGTAATCGAGAACTCGAAGACTCACTCACCTACCTGGTAGCCAGTTAGTTTTGTGACAGTTCAACAACACTGAAAAAAGTTACCTATGTAAGTTCACACTTACAATCATTGTAGCATCTGCAGGGTCACATGATCAAAATTCAGATGCTTGGCAACTGACTCATATTTATGACAGTTGCAGTGTTCCTGGCTCGTGTGGTCACTTTTTGTGGCCTTCTGGCAAGCAAAGTCAATGGGAAAGCCAAATTCACTTAACAACCATGCTACTAACTTAGTAACTGCAGTTACTGTGGCAAGAAGGGTCATAAAATGGGGCAAAATTCATTTAACAAATGTCTCGCTCAGCAACAGAAATTTTGGGCTCAATTGTGGTTGTAAGTCAAGGACTACCTGTATTTTAACAGAGGGATCCCTAGAGATGCGATCATTGGTATATAGAGAGAAGAGCAATGGAGAGAGCATAGCCCCCAGGGGCATCTGTGCTTATTGCTGGATATTCAGTGTGATTTTCCCTAGCTTTGCCTGTTGCTTCCTATTTGTCAAAAACCTAATAATCCACCTACAAGTATGGATAGCACTGGTAACTGAATAAGTCGAGAGAGAAGAATTTCTGGAATGCTGAGCTGAAGTTTACAAAAAGGACTCTTGCATAGATCCCTGGAGATTCAAGATGTTGCCAAATGTAGTGCAGTGCCATGTTGATACCATCATCTGTCAATCTATTTGCTCAGTTGGCAAACTGCAAGGAGTGTAACAGTGGATTTGTGATGATTTTCAGATGGGCCAGCACTAGCTTCTCAAAAGTCTTAATAACTACAGATGTCAGAGGAACCAGTCTGTACTCTTTCAGCTCCTTGATTGGGGGTTGGGAACTGGGAAGGTAGTAGAGGATTTGAAGCAAGAAAGGACATAACATATCTCTAATGATTTATTAAAGATGTGGGTGAAAATGGGGGCTGAAGTTGAAGTTGTTCAGCCCAGGCTTTCAAGCAGGAAGGATTTACTTCGTCTGGACCTGGTGCTTTTCTGATCTTGACAAGAAGACAGTGTTTGTAAAAGCATATATTCGCTATCACAATTAACTTAATTAATTATTGACAATTATCACCATGAACCAGGGGTGAAATCCAGCAGGTTCTGACAGGTTCTGGAGAACCAGTAGGGAAAAAATTTGGATTTCACCCCTGCTATGAACCCTTATCTACGTTTCAATTCTTGGATCAAGGTGAGGAACACTTTTGTTAATCCAAGGAAATTTATATGGAAATAAGTTTAGGCATTGATATTTCTCAGCACTCTGTGCAGTGCTGATCAGTGGTGTTATTTATTTATTTATTTATTGAAATAATTTTTATTACAATTTTCCTTTACACAACTCTAAAACATAATTAACAGACTGTGTCATTTTCATATACTTTGGATCAACATTCCATACAATATATACATTATATACATTCAGTATCTAATTTTTTTTAATTGAAAAAGTTTTTCAAATACAGATTTTTTCCCCCTTTTCCCCCCCTCCTCCCTAACCCCCCTCCCCCTCCCCTCCCCCTGTGGCGTCTCCAAAATAAAACCCAGATTAATAACAGATTATATAATACTTTACCATCCTTTTACTCCACCCCCCATATGCTGACCATTTCTTTCTAACAATATTATTATATCCCCCCTATACTATACATTTCAGAGCAACATTCAGCTGTAAAATTATATAATAAATCCTAATTTGGCAATTTCAACTCATAATCTACCCATTTCCTCCTCCCCCATACATATATCTCTTAATTCAAATATTTTACGTATATTAATATCTGGACATTTCATCCCTTTTCCTAAGCTAAACAATCAGTAAACTAACCTATCTCCACCCACTTTCCTACAGGTCTACCATACATAATATTTTTAATATCTTTGTTCTTCTGCTCACACCACTAAAAAATATTTCCATATGTAAATAAAATCCTCAAATGACTTTAAGCTTGTAATCCATATGATATCTTCTGTAGTGTCTTTCAACTGGATTATTAATTCCATCGCCCATGTTAGGGTAACATCAAGTTCTAGTTCCAACAGTATATTCAGTATCTTCAATTACCATCTGCCCCCATCAATAATAAGTGTTTTCGTATATAAAAAACCACCCGAGTGACTTTATATTTATATTCCATATAGTATCTTCTGTAGTGTCTTTCATCTAGATTATTAATTCCAACCACCGTGTTAGGGTAACAACCAGATCTTCTGCATGCCTCAATCCCATAGTTCTCTTGCCTTATAGCTCAACATATACGTAATCCATTTGTCAAAGAGTCCAAAATAGAAAGTTCCAATCCACTCAATTAGAGGCCATCTTCCACATCCCAAAAGCACAGCACTGCAGAGATCTGTTATTCTTCTCAAAATAGTATAAACCAATACTTTGCCTCAGCTATATTTTCATGTATCAGCTGTCTATAAATCCCGCTTATTATATTTAATCGTCTCTTAAGTAACTGGCATTAGACTGTTGTTTAGTCTAAAATTTTTTAGTTTTGTAGAACCTGCTTCTTCTTTTCTTAACTTTTTGTGGTTTAGATCTCCATCCTGGTTGCCTTTCTAGGACTTGTATATCAGCTGATTGATTTCCATGCTGGTCTGTAACTTGATAAGACATCACATTAAGATCCGAAGCCGCCTCTCTTGTATTTATAGGTAATCCAACTATAACCTCTGAAGGAGAATCCAAAAGTGGCTCATCCAAAAGGGCCTCTGTAACTTGTTGTTTTTCCATTACCTCCATCTCCATCTGCTTAGCCTGGGTTTCAATCTCTTGTTGATTTTGCTTTTCTTTATTCCCCTTGTGTGTTCCTAACACTGATGGCATACATGGAGATGTTGAATCCATTTTAAAAACCTTGTAGTAAAATTCTTCCACTTTTTCAACAGTATTTAATTGATATCTTTCTCCTTGATATCTCAATATTATACCAACTGGAGCATCCTACCTAAATGGGATGTTTTGTTTCTTTAGCTCAGTCACCAAAAATCCAAAATCCTTTCTATCTTTTAACATCTTGGACAGCAGCTCTTTATATATCCAAATCTTCCTTCCATTCATTTCAAGAGTGGAGTTAAAAGACTTTTGCACAATATCGTTTCTTATTCCTTTATCAGTAAAGTAAATCACCACATCTCTAGGCAACTGCCTTTGCTTTGCCACCCAAGAATTTGCTCTGTAGGCCTTATCAATCTTACAGGATACCTCTTCAGGACTAACCTTTAAAATCACAGCCAGAATTTCAGCAGACATCTTTCTCAAATCTTCTCTTTTATTTTCCTGTATTCCCCTAATTCTGACCGCAAATTCCATGAATCTGAATTGCATCATTGTGACTTCATTTTCAATCCTTTGTTTTATATTAGCTGCATTGTAAGTCTTGTAGTCAACTTCCTTTATTTTAGACTCTACTTCTGAGCTTTTTTCTTGAATCATTGTTAAATCATTTTCAATTCTTTGTATTTTATTATCCAAATTATGAATCTTATAATCAACTTCCTTCATTTTAGACTCTATTTCTAAATTGATATCTTTATCCATCTTTATAATTATTTCTAAGAAACTTTTCATATGTTGCTTCAGGTTATCATACTTTTGTTGAACCAACTCTTTAATTTCCTGTCTAAAATTTTCAAGGTTCTGGTTCACAATCTCATCATGTCTTGCCATCTCCTCCAATATATCCTCCTCCTTATATCCTCCCAAATTCGTAACAATGCATCTCTTATTTTGTGTCTATAAGGATATGAGTGTGTCCTATTCCCTTTATCTCACATAAAGGAATGCCACTCCTTTTGCAGATCGTGTCCTTCCAGTGTTAAGATTCTTCTATTGTTTAAATTAACCCAATCCCTTATCCAAACCAGAGTTGCTGCCTTGTGGTAAAATTCTCACGCAGGGAGTCCACAGCCACCTCTACTTCTACTATCTTGGAGAGAGAGTAGTTTTATCCTTGCCTTCTTTCCTGACCAAACACATTTTGTAGTAATTTTGTTAAGTTCTCCGAAAAACTTCTTATCTAATGATATGGGAATTGTCTGCAATAAGTATAATAATTTGGGTAGGATATTCATCTTGATCGTCGCTATCCTAGTGATGATCGGTGGTGTTATTTAAAGTGTTTTGTACTTTTTTAGTACAGTGGGCCTGGGAGATCCTGCTGGCCAAGACTTTATAAATAAACTTGCTCATATCTGCTCTAAGTTGGATGCTGGATGGGCAAGGTCTTCTCATATACATGAGAAGTAACATCCTGCTAGATCATCTGGGATTTGTCCAGGCCTGTGGCACTGAAGTAGACATGGTCATCTGTGGAATGAGCTCAGTCATCTATAAAGTAGATCTGGGCCCTCCTGGCTGATACGTACAGCTAGAGAGGAAAAGGTAGCTGGATACAGGAGGTGGCACATTCATCCTTGAGGGATGGATGGTACCCTCAGCTGTAAAGGAGAAGGTAATGTGTTTCCTTGTCAAGAATCCATCACTTGACCTGGCTATTTAAGACTAGCTAGTAAAACATTAGGGCTATTTAATATTTTAACATATCCCTTTTAGGTGAGATGGTTGAATTATAAATACACAGAAGTGTATTTCATATAAACTTTCATATATTTTAACTATACTGTGGGCATGAATCTATGACACACATGTAAAAGGGACACGGCACAACATTTTTGGGTCACACGCCAGCCTTCACCAACACCCAGCAATTATTTCTTCAAAGTAGTTTTCAGAGGCCAGTTCTTGTGTGAGGAAGTCTCTGTCTCTCCATGCAAGAAGACCATGTTCTCATACAGCCTCTGAAGCCTCAAAAATCACAGGGCAAAAGGATGAGCTTTCACAGGGTTTTGTGGGGGCTGTGGAAGAGCTTTCTCTGAGGCTGCCTCAAGAACGAAGGCCTCAGGCAACCCAGAGCAGCCTCAGGTAGGCCACAGGGGTCTGTCAAAAGAAAGAGAAGCCCACCTGAAAGTAAGTGGCACGAGGCAGATCCTGGGGATCACACACATGATTGCACTGTATTTTTTAAAAAAGAAATGTGTACATAAAGAATGTGTTTTTAGTTGGGGACATGCATGTGTGTGTGCGTGTGAGAGAGAAAGAGAGATGTAAGAAGAGTCCAATTAGGCATTTCCTGAATTTTTGACATGGCAACCACAAAAGGTTCACCACCATTGTCTAGCCAGGTAGGGATGCTCTAGTTGCCCACATTTCACCAGAAAGTCCCCCCTTAACATGGCCTTTTCAGTAGCAGTTTCTTCACTTTAGAGCAGGTTGATCTCCAGATAATTGGTTTTTTTTTCTCTGTTGCCTTGCAAGTACAATGAGTATTTCAGTACTAGAGACAAATTCCTTGTGTGTCTGTCTAATCACACTTGGCCAATAAAGTATTCAATTCAACTCAACTCAACTCAACTCAACTCAATTAAAACACCTATCGTTCAGAAGGAAAGTGAAAACAGTCGTTTCTTTCAGGGCTTCTGGAATGGGGCCCCTCATTAGATGGCAATAATTTACATGGATTTGAAAGGATTGATAAAGAAATACATAAATAAATGCAATTTCTAATGTTGCTTGCATTAACCTCCCCAAGCACTGGAGAATTTTAATAGCAGGAGTCATGCATGAGTTTCTAATGCCACTTCCTGGCACAAGGGCACAATATTTTTTTCTCAGAAATGAACTCCAGCTTGAAATTGGCTGTGCCATTGCGGATTACTATTCTGCCTCTTTTGCGCCTCTGCTCAATACCTTTCCATCACCTGACTTTCCTACACCTGGGCATCATCTAAATAAGGCAACATCCAATTCTGACGATCATTTGATTCATGCACTCTGATATCATAGTGCAAGTGCAATCTTTATTATCTATTATGTCTATGTGGGGATACATTCCTGCAAGAGCTATTTGTTACTCCAATCTCCATATACCCTATAGTTTGCAAAAGTAATCAGATAGCTCTGAGAAGCCAATTAAATTACACTGCAGACAATTTATGTGAAACTGCACACTTAATCAGATTGCAAGGAGGAAACTCCAGCAGGCCTCAGTTTCAAATTGCTCTGTTTAAATGCAAACAGAGCCAGAACCAATAAAATGTGACTAAAGATTTCAAGATATGATAATAAGGCATTTGTTAGCAATGTATAATATTAGAGTGATTTTATTTACACAGCCTTAATCTCCCATTCACACAAGATAATGTGTTCATCTAAAACATCTAAAAATGTTTTTGTTTTCTCCACTGCTTTACTTTTGTTTTTGTAATAAATATGCCTGTGCTGTTAGTAACAAAACCTACCATTTCTTTCCCTGCACGTTCTGTAAAGGCCTTCAATTGTTGACATTCCAGTATTACAAAATGGTATCACAATACCATTCTTTTCATGCAGCCCTTACTTGGGGCTGACAGACTATACCATTTTTTTAGAACCAAAAGCTGCCCTTGGAAAATGCTGGATCAAGTGGGTAGGCGCTGCTTTAACATCAGTTTAGCCAGTTTGCTTGGTGATTAAAGTGCCGGCCTGGAAATCAGGAGACTATGAGTTCTAGCGCTTCCTTAGGCAGGTAACTCTGGGCCAGTCCCTTTCTCAGCCCAACTCATCTCACAGAGTGGGTTTTGTGGGAAAAATAGGAGGCAGCAAACTTATATATGCTGCTCCTTTGAGTTGTACAAAACAAAGGCAGGATATAAATGTAATGATGATGAACCTGATGTAGGGCTCTCTGTGGAAGGGTGAACTGTAAACCCAAGTAAGCCCTCTGTGTGCAACAGCCAAAAACATATGAAGAAAACATATGAAGAACAGTTGCAGGATTTGGGTTTGGCTAGTCCAGAACAGGGCTGTCAAACTCCTGGCCTGTGGGCCAGATGCATCACATGCTGGCCATACCCACGATTGATTTAGCGAAGGGAGGGAAAGTCCAGATACATCACGTGATGCCGCTGTGACGATGTGAGTTTGACACCTCTGGTCTAGAGAAAAGAAGGACTAGGGGGGATATGATAGCAGTATTCCAGTATCTGAGATATTGCCACAAAGAGGAGGGGATCAACTTATTTTCCAAACGGAGGGCAGGACAAGAAATAATGGTTGGAAACTAATCAAGAAGAAAAGCAACCTGGAATGAAGGAGAAACTTCCTAATAGTGAGAACAATTAACCATTGGAACAGTTTGCTTCCAGAAATTGTGGTTACTTCATCACTGGAGGTTTTTAAGAAGAGACTGGACAGTCACTTGTCTGGAATGATATAGGGTCTCCTGCTTGAGCCTGTGATTGGCCTAGAAGACCTCCAAGGTCCCTTCCAGCTCTATTCTGATTGATAGGGCTCTCTGTGGAAGAATGAACTGCAAACCCAAGCAACCTCTCTGTGTGCAGCATCCCAGGCGCAGAAAACTACAAACCAGCTCTTAAAACAGTGTAAATTTCCACCTCATCTTAGGCAAGGGTTGGAGGTTAAAGATGGGAATCACTAACTCCAAAAAAAAGGTTGATCTCACTTAGTCAAAATCTAGCCATTTTGCAGCCAATTTTCAGCAATGTAGTTTCAGGTGCCTGGATCTGCAGATGGGGTTACTGGAGGACTGCATGCAGGCTGGGGACTGCCTGATCTTGGATGAAGACACAATTCTATTTTTCAAATCAGAGATCAAACTTTGTTCTTTCATAAAAAAGATTGTCCTTTATGCTGCAAGGGGGCACTGCATTGTTCATTATAATGTGTTGATTACATTACAATACCACACAGGTTACTGTGCCAATAATGGTCAGTCTCATTTTATAACTAAAAAAAGCCAGCATCCCAAATATCTTTTAGGTGATATAAAGATACAATAGATTTACTCATTTTTCAACTGTATTTGAAAGCTTTCTGGGTCACATCTCTAACCATTTACTTCTTCACTTTTCTAAAAGAAGAGATAATGGAGATGCCTCATCAAATGCCTCACTTTTCCTAAGCAAACTAACTCAGGAGATGTTCTTTCCTTCTTCTGCAGCTACACCCTCATCACCCCTGGTGTTCTGCGAACAGACACAGAAGAGCAAATTTTGGTGGAGGCCCATGGAGACAATACTCCAAAACAGCTTGACATCTGGGTTCTTGATTTTCCAGGGAAGCAGAGAGCCTTGTTCCAAACCAGAGTAGATATGATTGTGAATCCAACGGGAGGCATGCTTGTCACTCCAACTATAAAGGTGGGTGTATGGTGATGGTTGCAGTAGAGTCTATTGCAGTGTTGGTGGATCTTTTTAGCACCGAGTGTCAAAACAGGAGCGCCGAAAACCAGCATGTGCATGCCGGGAAGCTGCTCTTCTGGTTTCCGGCACTTCCCCAATCCCGAAGTCCAGCTGGCGGAAGAGAAACAGACGACAGCTGGTGTGCCCAGAGAGATGTCTCTGCATACCACTTCCAGCATGCGTGCCATAGGTTCTCCATCATGGGTATCTTGTATCCCTGTAAAAAAAAAAAAAAAAACAAGCTAAAACTCTGTCCAGTCTGGCTTGAGGGGAAGTCCTATGCACCTTAATCAAACATGATTAGATCGTCAGATATTGAGAGAAATTGACCATATAATTCTAAGGAGGAAAGCAAAATGGAATTTTGGGATGCATGTGTATTTATTTTACAGTTCTTACTGCCACAATTACTGAAAGATTCTCTGCAGCATTTCACACAAACAAGTAAAATATAATAAATATTTAGATCAAAATCAGTATCAAAACCAAAAATCAATCACAGGTCTGAGTCTGCTAACTAATTGAGCCCAAAGAATGTCAAACAACTGCTGACATCTTTTCTCAGAAAACTGAGAAAAGTTCTGCAAATTGGACCATAATCATACTAACACAATTGCTACATTTCTATATGCAGTGATTTCCATGAATAGGCATATTAAATGTCCTAACCTTGCAGTGATGAAATTACAAACCTTTCTTTTTTTCTTTTATCTGGTTTTATTACATCTGCTGCAATTTCCTTTTTTCCCATTTTTGTATTAACTTTTAGTTTTATGTGAGTGATACACTGCTTTTCATATACATTATTTGGTCATTGCTGCTATGTTTTTATCGTGCTGGTTAATGACTATATTTAAATAAATCTGATTTGATTTGACTGACTAGTTAAATAAGATTAGTGTATATTTTCATTTTCTTTCTGAATGAGCATGCTTTAACTTATTTTGATTGCTTTTTGTTAAAGATGTAATAATATTTAATGAAATAAATCTTAGACAAACTCTCACTAAATAAGCCCTGCAAGGTTCAGAGAAGCTTTTGCCAACTGGGTGCCATCTGCAGGCATTAAACTGCAGACTGTGCCAGCCTGTGCAAGTTGGGGATTTGGGGATACTCTAAAAGTCATAGATTCTAACCTTTGTATAATTTCAGGGGGCATTGTTTACCTGCCAGTAAAGACCAGGAATAATTAATTTGATTCCCTAGCTCTGGGGCAATTTCTCAGTCTGTGGGTCCCATAAAATCATTCTTTTTTTTCCTGTTTGCAATAGCTCTTATGCATTAAAAATAACAAACTATAAAATAAAGAGTGGTCTATGCATGTCAAAGTCTCTCTGTTTGGATTTTATGGTGGATTTTGTAGGCTAAATGATTTTGGCTGGTTATTGTAAGCTGTTTTCATGTAAACTTTAGATATTATACAATTATTATAATAAGGAGATATATTATTGGAATATATTAATGGAATATAATAGTTCATCTTGGTAAGTGTGTGTGTGTGTGTCTCAGTATTGGGATTCAAAATTTTTACTACTGGTTCTGTGGGTATGACTTGGTGGGTGTGGCATGGCTTTGTGGGCATGGCAGGGGAAGGATACTGTAAAATCTCCATTCCCTCCCCACTCCAGGGGAAGGTTACTGCAAAATCTCCATTTCCTCCCACTCAGCTGGGACTCGGGAGGCAGAGAATAGATGGGGGCGGGGCCAGTCAGAGGTGGCATTTACCGGTTCTCTGAACTACTCAAAATTTCTGCTACTGGTTCTCCAGAACTGGTCAGAATCTGCTGAATACCACTTCTGATGTGCGTGTATTTGGAAAATCGAATAATTGTCCAACGAAAAAGATTCGATGTGTTTGGATTTATGATCCTTCAGGAAGTGAGATGGCCGAACCAAGACAGTTGTGTAAATTAGGAGGGAAAAGGCCAGAGAGAACAACGTGGGGTTTGTGGGTGTACTGCAGTGGACAGATGTGGCTTGTAACACAATGTAGCAACACATTTTAAAGATAAGCCTATGTTTGTCATTCTGTGATCCACTTTGTTTTCATTTTTGACCCAGTAGAAATTTTTGGACCAATGTTTTAGTGTTGTTGCCTAGGGCTAAGGAATGAGGCCTCAGGTGGCCTTTAGTCATGATTACGTTTGAAGCCTCTGCTCTACTCATCTTCTCATCCAGATTCCTGCAAGAGAACTGAGTAAGGACTCCAGGCAAAATAAGTATGTGGTTGTGCAAGTAACTGGTCCTCAAGTGAGTTTGGAAAAGGTGGTTCTCCTTTCTTACCAGAGTGGCTTTGTGTTCATCCAGACAGATAAAGGCATCTATACACCAGGCTCTCCAGGTAAACTCTTTTTCTGCCTCTATTCTTCACTCCTCTGGGGTCCCACTGTGATTATGTGATGAATAATACTATAAACAAAACCATTCCTGAGATTTGTCATTTATTCAAGATATTTCCAGAGAGTGGGGAATGGAAGAATGTGTGTCTTGTGAGTGTTGGCACTGGTGATATTGAGAAATCAAGCTTAGAAAGTTCAGAAAAGATTTAAGAAACACATTGATAGATGGTCCAGTGGAATGTAATCACAAATTAGGAAGGGAATGGAGACGTCAAAGAAGATGTCACCCTGACTAATTGCAAGCTATAAAAGGGGTAAACTCTTGAGGATTATGTGAATGATCTTTTTTTAAAAAAATCTTTCTGTGTTTTTTTTTTAGAGAAGAAAATGTGTAATCCTGAAGGTCTATTCTTTCCAGAAAGGCTTTTTCTTTAGGTTTCCTTTGAAGGTGGTGTTTTTGTCTAAGATCCAGAAGATCCATACTGAAGTAATCTAGAAACATTTAATCTAACATTTAATCTTAGTAATCTACTAAGATCCAGGAGGACTCTGCCTTCCCTGGCAAAGTAAGGACACCTCCTTGGAATGGGCTAAGTTTAATGACTTCCTAGCAGGCTGACATGTTTAACTCTCTCATTCACTTTCCCATTCCCTTTTCACATACTCTCTCCCTTTTTCCCTAACAGAAGGTCCTGTGCTCTGGCAAATCCCCCATGCTTTCTAGACTCTAAATAAAATAAAATTATTCTATTCTATACTCTATTGGTAGAACAGATCTTTCTGCAGTTAGGAAAGGCACAGAGGGAGCAGAATCCAGCTGTGATTGGGAGCAGAATCCAGCTGTGATTGGGAGAAGGGTCATGTCTTAATCTCACTCACACATACAAGCATACACACATTTCTCAGCTCTTCTGGGCTTTAAAAGTTACAATTTGGAGATGCTCACCTTCTTTCCAAGCAGCCTTGAAGCTCAAAACTCAAAATCCCTTTACGACCTTAGTTCCAAATGGCCATGGTCTGGAAAAAATCCACCCACAGACAGAATGGGTCTATGCTGGCAAGGGAGGCTTACCCAGGCCAGGGGTACCCATTGGTCAGGTTAGCTTGGAGTCCCATCTGGGGTGCCAAATTGTTGGAAGAAATACCTAGTTCAGTTCCAAGCCGGGAGAAAGGCACTGGAGACAAAATGGAGGCTGGAGGCTGATTGGAAAGAGGGTTCATTTATTGATGAACAGGACCACATGGGTTGTGGTTCTGGTGCATCTGACCACATGGAGTTGCGAGTAGGTGGCTTTTATACTTTCTCTTGGGCTTTGCACTTGAACTTCCTGTTCCTGTGCAAGAACATGTATTCTATTAGTTGTTGTAGGGGTCATAGCTGGCTCTATAGGTTGTCTGAGCTAAGTTTGGTTGAAGTTTGGAGGCTGATGCAATGTCTTTAGGAGATTATGCAATGTGGTGAGCTCTGCTGCTAGATGGTAGTGGGTTAATCTTATTATGTCCTAAAGGGTCATGTCTTAATCCCATCACCCTGGAGCTGAAGCTCTTTTGTTTTGTAGATAGGCTGGCCCAATCTTTCTCAATGGGTACAAAATATCTCCTGGGTGGTGGGGAGGGAGCTGGGGCTCTGAGTTTCTGTCTCGCTTAAGATTTTTATTTCTCTTTTAGGGGAAATATTTTATCCTGCCTTTTTAAATATTTCTCAAAATATTTAATTTTTCTGGGAGGGGGGTAGCTTCCCATAAGACTAATGAGCTGTTTTTCTAGAAACTGACCCACATCTGCTTTTTAGGATTTACAGTGAGTCTGGCAGACAGCTGCTGTCATGGTTGAGATTTGGCTCACTTTGCAAACCCTGCTTTCAACTAAACAAGAAGAATGAGGGGAGGGAATAGATTGGAATGCAGGGGAGGCATAATGGTGGGGGAGGAGGAAGGAATGCAAAGAGCACTGACTTGGAGCTTGAGAACCAAGGTCATCTGCTGAGAAAGTCTACTAGGTGGAGAGTCCATTAGCCAAACAAACTGAACTGAACTGACTATACTGATTGGATGGAATAAAGGGGAACATTTAACTATGCTGTTTGTGCATAAAACGTTAGTATTGTCTTTGCTACTTCTAGATCCATATTGGCTCAGTAAGTTATACTCTTGGTAATAAAAATGTCCCAGGAGTCTTTATTTGCTGCATGTACATGTGGGACGATTGACAGCTACAAAATATCAGACAATTTATAACAGTACTTTTTGTTGATGATGATGCAAGCACATCAATCAATCAATTTTTTCATTATGGTCACAGACCAGCATGATGTAAGCACATATCTTCTGAATACTATCACAAATTACAGTTAGTCTCTTTTTTCTTAGTGCGCTATCGTGTCTTTTCTGTGGATCACAACATGCACAGGATGGACAAAACTGTGATTGTTGAGTTTCAGGTGAGAATCATGTCTGCAATCCTGTGTGATTAGTATAGTCCCCTGAACAAGGAGTGGTTGTTGATTCTCCCATGTAATCATGGCAGGAAGACCCAACCATTTTATGAAGCTTTGGTTGGCTAACATTTTATATATGCATTTTCCTAAAATGTTTAATTTTAAGCTCTGTGTTAAATATTAGGCTGTATCAAAGATTTGAAAAGTTTCACTATGAAACTGGAAAATAATGCCGAGGTTGAATGTATGTATTTTTGTGTATGCATGTATATGGTGGGGATAGGAGCTAGTTTTTTTTTTTTTTTATTTGATTTATATGCCGCCCTTCTCCGGAGACTCAGGGCGGCCTACAATGCGCTAAGCAATAGCCTTCATCCTTTTGTATATTTATACAAAGTCAGCTTATTGCCCCCACAACTGGGCCCTCAATTTACCTACCTTAGAAAGGATGGAAGGCTGAGTTAACCTTGAGCCTGGCGAGATTCGAACCTGCAGTAATTGCAGGCAGCTGGTCTTAATAACTTAATAACAGGGTGCTTTAGACCACTGTACTATCAAGGCTCAGGAAGTTTACTACTTCCTGTTTTGTCAGCAGTTTTCATCTGCACCATTATTATTTTTTTGCTAAAAGGGGCTTGGGGTGGCAAATGTTCTACTTTCAAACCAAATTAGGCTGAATTATCTGTTCTGGGCTATCAGTTGGTATTATCTTAGTGAAAATTCAAATAATAGCCTTGCATCTTATAACCTAGTTCCCCACCTGCTGGGTTTCATTTGCTCTCTATATTGTGTTATCACATATAAAATCTAGTATTTCAGCTGGATTTTGATCATATAGAATGCATAGGAAATAATATGCAACATTCTACATGTTTTCAACACACCCGTATTTTATTTCTTCGTGCCCAGACTCCACAAGGCATTGTTGTCAGTTCTAATCCAGTTGACCCAAACTTGATCCGGCCTTACAATTTACCAGAGCTTGCCAGGTAATTTAATATGGATATTGTTATAAGGAAACCTGTTTTGAAACCAAGCTGAAACTCTTAAGGGGTGGGGGTGGGGGTGGGAATTCAGCTATTAAAGACCGGTTAAAGGATAGGCTGTATAGTATTTTCCCTTTTAGCCTGCTTCCCTGATCTATTACTAAAGTAAGAAAAAAAAATCCAGATTTGATCACTTGAATTTGTCCATGACATTTCTATTTCCTCTTGTTTTTTGAAGAGCCCAGAGCAACATTCATGGGGCTGCAATGTTATTTGTATAGCAATTCTGTGAAATTGATTGGACAAATAATAGATACAATCTTATCACCACCACTTAAGCTCAGTGAGCAAGAGTAAATTTGTTGCAGATGTAACATTCACAATTCAGCTTCCACATATATGAATCTGAAGATTTCTGAAACAGACATTTTCTTCGTCCTTTATACTTATTCTCCATAGGACAAGCAAACCTATTAATATCAGGAAGAAGCCTTGTATCCCTTGTTCATATCATTATTGTCATAAATCAATTATAAAGTCAAAAGAATGAAAAATATCTTCATTTTCCTTCTGTAGTTTTGGAACATGGAAGGCTGTGGCCAAATATGAGCATTCCACAGAGGGGAGCTATACCGCATATTTTGATGTCAGGGAATATGGTAAGAAGGATCATTTCTGTTCAACAAATCCACTTCCTGATCCTGGGTTTCTTCTCCCTCCATGTAGTTTCTAAAAAACCTAGTTCTATCATTTGTAGAAGTGGAAAATTATGAGAACAAATTTGGTCTATGTCAAAGTCTGTAGCTATCCAACCAGCACACAAGTAAATAATTCAGCAGGATTCATTTTATAGAAGTAACTTCTTTATATACAATAATATAAAACATGATGCATGTATACAATACCCATGCAGCTCTTGCAATGTTGTCGAGTCATTGGCTGACTTGTTGTTACGGCTATTCCAGTTCATAAATTCTTATACACTGACACTACTCCCTTTATGACTGGAATAGACATAAAACCGAATAACTTAATATTCTTCCCATGGTGCACTCCACCCAATGGCTTGGTCATTATATCTGCCAGATTGCCTTCTGAAAAACAGCGAAGCAAGCTAATTAATTTACATTTGATGGCTTCTCTTACATTACAATATATAATATCCACATGCTTGCTTCTATTTTTTTACTCTGTCACCTGTTGCCATTTTTTAAAAAAAAATTGATTTATATGCCACCCTTCTCTGGAGACTCAGGGCGGCTTACAATGCACTAAGCAATAGCCTTCATCCTTTTGTATATTTTATACAAAGTCAGCTTATTGCCCCCACAACTGGGTCCTCAAGTTACCTACCTTAGAAAGGATGGAAGGCTGAGTCAACCTTGAGCATGGCGAGATTCGAACCTGCAGTAATTGCAGGCAGTGGTCTTAATAACAGGGTGCTTTAGACCACTGTACTACCAAGGCTCTTAATGCATTTGTTATTAATGCAAGCAGCATTATCCTCAAACACTGTTACAGCGTTATTTACTTTTACATTTAAATCCTTCAACAGCTGTACGTACCAAGTTACCTCTGAACAAAGTTTAGATAGAGAAATAAATTCTGCCTCTGCAGTAGAAATGGCTACAATTGTTTGTTTTCTAGACTTCCAACCAATTAAAGCTCCTCCAAATAATACCACAATCCCAGAATTGGACTTTCTGGTTTTTACATCTTTGGCATAATCACTGTCAACATAACATTTCAACTTTAATTCTTCAGAGACCTGTATTTGAAGACCCAAGTTCACAATTCCCTTCAACTACGTGAGAATCCTTTTTACACCCATCCAATGCAATGGATGGGTGTAAAAAGTGGTGCAATGTGTTGGTGCAGCAGTAAAGTGACATAAGATGCTTACTGCACAAGCTATGTCTGGTCTGGACCACTGTGACAGATATAGCAAGTTCCCTATTGCTGACTGATATATCTCTTGATCACAGGCTTCACTTTTGTCCTCACCCAAATTGTTATGAAAATCTGTGCTCATAGATGTTGGAGCAGAATTACAATCCTTCATATTATATCTCTCCAACAGCTGTTCAATTTTTCTTCTTTGACTGAGAACATAACTATCTTTCTCAGTTTTTTGTATCTCTACACCAAGATAGTTTTGTATTTCACCGAAATCTTTCAATTCAAACTTTTTCTGATTAGCAAATTCTTTTACCTGTGACAGATCTTTTGCAATGAAACCAGATCATCCACAAATGCTAATAATTGACAATCCCCACCTTGTAACTTTCCAGTGTATGTGCAACCATCAGCCTTGCAACTCTTGAACCCAAGACCCTTCAATGCAGTAGCTAGACAGATATTCCAATTCCCAGATGACTGCTTCAGCCCATAAATGGTCTTGTTCAATTTATACACCGTGTTAGGCTTTTTACTTTCATACCCTGGTGCTTGAACCATGTAAATTTCTTCCTCTAATTCCGCATTGAGGAATGCAGTGGTTATATCAAAATGCCAAATTTTATGGCCATGTGCCACTGCTAATGTTAGTGCCAACCTTATGCTTTACCATAGGTGCAAATACCTCATCAAAGTGCACATTTTTCTTTTGTGAAAAACCTTGTGCCACTAATCTTGCCTTATATTGGACCACATTGTTGGATAGTACTTTCCTTTTGTACACCCATTTACATCCTATGGCTTTGCAACCTTGTGGCAAAGTTACAGATGTGAACACTTTATGTTCACCCATGGATTTCATTTCTTTGTCCATGGCTTCTTTCCACTTCACTTGTTCAATTTTCGGTAATGCCAATACTTCCTTATAGTTTCTTGACTCAAACCACACATTACACACCTTTACTCCACTAGCAGAATACCTGTCAGGTGGAATCCCCTTGTTCCATCGCTCTGATCTGAGTGGCATTGACTGCTCTTGTGCTTCAACACTCTCTTTCTTCATATCTGAGTGATCATCTTCTCCTGACTCCTTTTCTTGTTCTTTTTTAGCTTCTCCTCCCTGAACACTGAGATGGTCACTAAGTGAGTTACCATTGCTAAGTGGGTCACCGTCACTAAATGGATCATTCCAAAAATTTGCATCAATTCTGTTCCAATTTTGCTCTGCAAAGCTAGCAGACCTGGAAATCACTATTCTCTTGCTCCCATTACTAAAGTGATAGCTCTTTGAGTCAGGCTCATAGACCGTAAGCCTGAGTTTTCTAGCCTTTGGTTGACCTTTTCTCCTGATTGCTTTTGGAATATGCACCCACTATTGCTTCCAAAAATCTTTAAATGTGCCAGAGATGGCTTTCTCCCATATAACACTGTATAGGGAGTATGATTAATAGAAGAACTCCACAGCCTATTGATTAACTAATTAGCAGCCAACATGGCTTCACTCCAATAGGACCTGCTCAGACCAGTGAGTCCTTCATGGTTTGTAAGACACCATTCCACCTCTCAACTACACCATTCTCAGCTGCTGTATATGGATTAGTGCATCTGTGTTTTATTCCTAACTATCCCAACCACTGTTGAAAACGTGCTGACATGAATTCTGAACCTCTGTCAGTTTGCAGCTGATATACCTGTTGTTTATATCTTCTATCTATGAAGCTTACCCGTTGTTTAAATTTCTGTAGCACCTCTATTTTACTCTTTAGTAAATAGAATGTAATCTGATCTCTTCTGTTGCTCTTCTCTCTCTGGTCCAAGGAACAGAGGCTCTTCTCCTCATGGCTTCTTAATCCACCCCAGCACCATTAGCAACTGCAGATCAAAGGCAGCATGATAAGGCACTGGCCTACATCACCTTAGAGTTTTGGAAAAGAAAAACTACAATAAAAATTATTTACAAAAAAAAAAAAAAAAGGTAGCAGTCTAGAACCCTGGAGACTGTGAATTCTAATCCCACCTTAGTCATGAAAGCCAGCTTGGGTGGCCTTGGCCAGTCATTCTCTCTCAGTCCAATCCATATCACATGGTTGTTGTGGAGAAAATAGAATGAGAAAGGTGTGTTGGATATGAGTTATCTGTAAAAATAATAAACGCAAGATACAAATAAATAAATAAAATCAGAGGAAGGAGTATTAGGTATGTTCACCACTTTGAGTTGTTTATAAAAATAATAAAGATGGGATATAAATAAATAATAAATAAAATATATTGAATAAAATCTGTCAGTGCTAGCCTTCTACTCTTTCATCTGTTTCTTTTTCTGTAGTGTTGCCAAGCTTTGAAGTCCGTCTGCAACCATCAGAGAAGTTTCTTTACATTGATGGCAATACAAATTTCCAAGTGTCTATCACTGCAAGGTATACTTATTTACAACTATGAATATTATTACTCAGTGCCAAAATAAAGAAATTTATTTTGGCACTGGGTAACATCTGCTTGAAAGTGGTTTTTCTTTGGGTCATAATATTCAGAAAAATAAGATGTGGAGACTAGTTCTGATTTGAACATATTTACTTGAATTTTTTTAAACAAATACATTATTTATAAAATTGCAAAATAGTCTTTAGACTTTATTTACGGTAGCTTTATTAGTCTGACTGCTTATTATACCAAACTGAATTATCACTTATAGCTTTAATACTGCATTGTTTTAGTGTCAAGGTAGGGTGGTAGTCATAGAAATGACCAGAGGAAGAATAATCAAATTCAGTTGGGAAATTATAATCTGAAAAAAATGCCACCAATTCCACTCTCCCATTATTTAGGAAGTTACAAATTCTAATGAGTGATTTTAATTGTATTAAGTGTAGTGATATCCCCGTAAAGATTGCTGGAGTCTGAGTTCTCCTGGCCCTCTTGGTATGGCTGCTGGTCCACACTGGTCCCTTGCTCAGGCACCTGTACTTGCCTGGGTAACGTAGTGGAGTGGTGGTCAGTCTCCTCTCAGCAGGAAGGTCACATGGTGGAGAGATGGTCAGTCTTTTCTCAGCAGGTGGGTGACATGATGAGATGGTATTCAGGTGGCTGGTCGGCCCTTCTTCCTCTCTTTCTCTCTCTCCTCTCTCTCTCTTGAACTGCCTGCTGGGCTCTCCTTCCACAGGCTCTGCTCCTTTGTAGCCTCTGCTCCTTCCACAGCCTCTGCTTGCCTCCCTTTCAAATTCTTCTCTCCCTCAGGCTTGCCTCACAGAAGCCAATCCTATCCTATCCCCTTCTGTCTCTCAGACTTGCCCCACAGAAGCATATCCTATCCTATCCTATTCTCCTTCTCTCCCCCAGGCTTGCCCCACAGAAGCCTATCCTATCCTATCCTAGCCCCTTCTGTCTCTCAGCCTTGGCCCATTGAAGCCTCTCCTATTCTCCCTGTTGGAGGGAAAATCCATCTGGTTCAGTTCCAAGCTGGATAAAAACACTGGAAATATGGAGGCTGATGGAAAGATGGTTTAATGATGAATAGAACCACCAGGGTTTATGGTTCTGGTGCAGCTGAACAATTGGTTTGATGAGTACATGGATTTTTATAATGTTTAAGAGATGCTGCTGGGGGGTGGGTGGGTGTTGTGCAATGTCTGAAATGCTCTTAGGAGATTGTGCAATGTAGTGAGCTCTGTGTCTTCTGCTTAATGGTAGTGGGTTAATCCTATTATGTCCTGAAGGGTCATGTCCTTTTCTTCTTAATCCCATCACCCTGGTCTTTTGTTTTGTAGATAGGCTGGCCCAGTCTTTCTTAATGGGCGCAAAATGTCTGTTGGGGAGGTTGGGCTATTAAGAAAGACTGCTTTCTGTCTTTAAAAGCATGTTTCCATTTCTCCCTTTGGAGAAATATAATATTCTGTCTTTTTAATATTCCCCAAAATATTTCATTCTTGGGGGGGGGGGGGTTCTCACATTACTATTGCCTTCAGTCCCTCTCCTTTTCCTTAGGCCTCTTTCTCTATTTTCTTCTTAGCCTTTTTAGTCCCTTTTCCCCTTCCCCAGGCCACTTTTGCTATCCTTACCTTCCAGCTTTTCCCACCCAAGTCTCCCCTACCTTTTCTTGCCCTCTCTCCCCCCGCCCACTACATAAGGTTTTAAATATGGTATGTTTTCTACTCCATACTTGTTATTTTTGCAAGCCACTTTGAGTGTTGGAATGAACAGAAAGGAAGGTATACATTTAGAAAAAAGGAAGTAAAATGGGCAGATAGGTGAAGGAACTGAACTTATCATGTCCTTCTCCCAAACAATCTGTTTTCTCCTGCCCAGCTTTACCATCAGAAGTGACAAAATCTTGGAGAAAGGTGCCTGAATCAGTAGAGCAGAGAAAAAAAGATAGCCATGAGAAATAGGTCAGCAACCTCAGTGATGTCTGTGGAGAGTCTCAATCATCCAGGTCACAGTTGTCTCAAAGATGCTCAAAGGCAACTGGACTCTTTTTTCCTTGAGGAAGAAGAAGTAAACATTTCGATTCTCATCCAAGAAGCTTCATCAGTTCTGACAGCAGGGAGGGTAGAATAAAATAGAATAGAATTCTTTATTGGCCAAGTGTAACTGGACACACAAGGAATTTGTCTTTAATGTATATGCTCTCAGTGTACATAAGGAGAATAAAATACATTCATTGAGAACAAAAAGATACAACACTTAGTGTTAGTCAAGGTTATTAATAAGCTATCAAATCGTACTAGGAAACAAATAAAAACAATATAAATTGAAAGATACAAGCAACACAATTATAGTAATAAGTGGGAAGAGATAGATACTAGTAAGGAAGAGAAGAATAATAGTAATACAGTCTTACTAAATTATTTGACAGTATTGGGGGAATTAGTTGTTAAGCAGAGTGATGGCATTCGGGAAAAAACTGTCCTTGTGTCTAGTTGTTCTGGTGTGCAGTGCCCAATAGCGTTGTTTTGAGGGTAGAAGTTGAAACAATTTATGTCCAGGATGCGAGGGGTCTGTAGATATTTTTACAGCCCTCTTTTTGACTCATGCAGTACACAGGTCCTCAATGGAAGGCAGATTGGTAGCAATTGTTTTTTCTGCAGTTCTAATTATCCATTGAAGTCTGTCAAGTTTGTCTTATTTGGTTGCAGAGCCAAACCAGACAGTTATGGAGGTGCAGATGACAGATTCAATAATTCCTCTGTAGAACTGGATCAGCAGATCCTTGGGCAGTTTGAGCTTTCTGAGTTTGAGCAGAAAGAACATTCTTTGTTGAGCTTTTTTGATGATGTTTTTGATATTAGGTGTCCATTTTAAGTCTTGAGATATGATAGAAACTTGAAGGACTCTACTGTTGACACCGTGTTGTCTGGTATTGTAAGAGGTGGTAGTATAGGAGGCTTTCTTCTAAAATCCACCACCATTTCTATGGTTTTGAGTGTACTTAGTTCAAGATTGTTCTGGTTGCACCACAGGGCTAATTGTTCAACCTCCCATCTGTATGCAGATTCATCATTGTCTTGAATGAGACCAATCACTGTTATATCATCTGCAAACTTCAGTACTTTAACAGAGGGGTCTTTTGAGATGCAGTCATTGGTGTACAGAGAGAAGAGAAGTGGAGATAGCACACAGCCCTGGGGGGCTGCTGTGCTAATTGTGCAGGTATCTAGTGTGATTTTGCCTAGCTTCACCTGCTGCTTTCTGTCTGTTAGGAAGCTGATGGTCCATTTACAAGTGTGATCAGGTACAGCTAGCTGATTTAATTTAGTTAGAAGAATATCTGGAATGATGGTATAGAATGCTGAGCTGAAGTCTACAAAGAGGACCCTTGAATAGGTCTTTGAAGATTCAAGATGTTGTAGGTGCAGAGTCATATTAACAGCATCATCTGTCGATCTATTTGCTCGGTAGACAAATTGCAAGGGGTCTAACAGCGGATCCGTGATGGTTCTCAGGTGGCTGAGCACTAGTCTTTCAAAGGTCTTCATAACTACAGATGTTAGAGCAACCAGTCTGAAGTCATTCAGTTCCTTGATAGAGGGTTTCTTCAGCACTGGGATGATAGTAGAGCATTTGAATCAAGAAGGAACATAGCACATCTCTAGTGATTTATTAAAGATGCAGGTGAAGATGGGGGCCAGTTAGTCAGCACAAGTTTTTAAGCAAGAAGGAGTTATCTTGTCTGGACCTGGTATGGAAGGATAGATACTGACAGTTGAGACTGGATGGTGGGGGGGATGGAAGGATAGGCTCTGCTAGGATGGTGGTGGTGGAAATGGAAGGATTGTATTTTTTTGCATTTGCATTGTATTGTATTGCATTGCATTGCATTGCATTGCATTGCATTGCATTGCATTGCATTGCATTGCATTGCATTGCATTGCATTGCATTGCATTGCATTGCATTGTAAGCTTTGTGGATGAGAAGTGAAATGTTTTCTTTTTCATCATCAAGGAAAAAACAGTCCAGTTGCCTTTTGAAGAAAAAAGCATCTTCCAGACACCATCACTGATGTACCCCTCTTGTGTCAAAGAAGATCAGTAGGAAAAGCAAAGATGTATAATTGGGCCTTTACTTTCATTGTGTCATTTACAGGTACTTGTATGGAAAGAAAGTGGAAGGTGTGGCCTTTGTCCTCTTTGGAGTGAAAATAGATGGATATAAAAAGAGTATTCCAGAGTCACTCACGAGAATTCCGGTAAAGTTTAACAGGAGTGTTTGTTTATTGGAATGTGTCTGTGGGTTTGTGTGTCAGATTTATTAGATAGAACAAACCACAAAATTAATTCCATAGTAGGCTAAAACTATCTTTGCTGAGAGTCTGTAGTAACAGAATCTTGTAAATCTGGTTGGGCTATAATTTTTTCTCCTTCTAATAATTTGGGGAATAAGGGAGTGTCTGCTTCAGTCTCTTCTGAGAAATCAGCTCTCCACAAATGAACTGGCAAATGTGTGGAAAAGCCTGAAAATATCATTAGTTACAGAAGACCTTGTAGAAGAGAATCAGCATCTGGCAGATGACCTGAATGTGTTCTACTGTAGGTTTGAGAGAAGATCACTGTCAAATACCGCTACCCTCTCCATCTCAAATACATCAACAACAGCTAAGTCTCTTACACTCAACTCCACCCCTCTGGGCCCCACACCACTGGTGATCACATAAAAAGATGTGTGAGGTCTATTTCACAGACAAAAAGGTGGAAAAGCACCAGAGTCAGACAGGGTAACCCCCTCTTGCTTGAAAGTCTGTGCTGATCAACTGGCCCACATCTTCACTCACATATTTAATAAACCCCTGGAGATGTGGTATATCCCTTCTTGCTTCAAACGCTCTACTATCATCCCAGTGCCCAAGACACCTCCATCAAGGAGTTGAATAACTACAGACCGGTGGCTCTGACATCTGTAGTTATGAAAATCTTCTAAAGATTAGGCCACCTGAAAACCATTACAAATCTGCTGCTAGACCACTTTCAATTTGCCTATCATGGAAATAGATCGACAGATGATCCTGTCAATATGACACTGCACTTTGACTTGTTACAACATCTTTTTTTTTTTTGGTAAATATTTTTTTATTTTTTTTCAAACATAAACATAAAATATAACTTTCAAGAACAGTCTCTCGATCCGGTCATAGATAGTTACCACGCTTACATTCCTTTAACAAGCTCCATTCAGAATTTCCCATTACATCTTTTACGGATAAAAATTCAAAACATATAAGAACAAGTTTTAACATGAAGTCTAGCATCTTCACCTAAACAAATCCATTATATCAATACAATTTTAATTTCAAATTAACTTTCACTCATTTTTATATCTATAAATCAATCCTGATTATATCTTGTTCTTCTTCACCTTGTATCTTTTACCATCAATGTCAAAATAATTTTTAACAATATTCTAACCTCTTATTCTAATTATTTACCTTACAATTTTATCACCACAAATCTTAATTTCAAATTCAATACAACTCCATCTTTATTACACTTTATAAAACAAAATTCTATCTAATTCTTAATCTCTTGATCCTTTTTCTCGAATCTTAATATCTTAAACTTTATCAATTTATCTTTAATTTTATCCCACTTATCATCTATTACACTTTTCATGTTACACAGATTTATCACAAAAACATATTTTATTTAAACTAATTTCCAGCATATTTTCTTCCATACCTCCCTCTATTGTTTGGCTGTTTTCCAGCATATTATGTTTGGCTGATTCACAGCACAGTCTCCTCCAGAGCACCAACTATTTTTGGCTAATTTCCAATATAGTCTCCTCCAAGCTTACCACCATTATTGGCTGATTTCCAGCATATTATGTTTGTCTGATTTCCAGCATAGTCTCCTCCTAAACTCCCTCCATTGTTTGGCTGATTTCCAGCATAATCTCCTCCAACTCTCCTCCTATTTGCTTGGCTGATTTCCAGCATTTTATTGGCTGATTTCCAGCATATTATATTTGGCTGATTTCCAGTATAGTCCCCTCCAAGGCTCCCACTCTTGTTTGGCTGATTTCCAGCATAGTCTCCTCCAACTCTCCTGTAAGTGTTTGGCTAATTTCCAGCATTTTAACTAGTTTCCAACGTATTTCCTCCGAGTCTCAAACTCTTATCTAGTTGGTATCCATTCGTCTTATTTTAATTTTCTCTTACAGTATGATTATCTATTTTGTGTCAGTTTCCCAGCATGCTCTTTCAAATTAATTCTCAATATATTTCATAATAATCATCATTTACCAGCATATATCAAATTAAATCACAATTTGTTACTAAAATCTGTATATCTTATAATTTGTTCAATAAAACCTTAGTCAAGCGTAATAACCAATCTAACATTTGTTTGCAAATTAAAATTAAAACATATTACATCAAGCAGTAAACTTTCTTAAAGTTGTCTCACATTAATATATACTCTTCTTTATTGTTTTTAACCACCTATATATCATCCTTTATTTTAGTTGCCATCTCTTATTTTCTAATTTTGTTACTCCAAAAACCCTCCTGTTTTTATCCAAAAATCATATATACGTTCAGGCTTTTAAACTTTACATTTAAATTTAGTTACATTTAAATTTATCTACTTTATTTCTTCCTTTTCTTCCTTTTCCTATCTGTCCATAAATGTTCCATTTCAAAGTTCATCTGTTCTAATTAAAAAATTCTGTATGTCCCTTTAATGCTTTATAATGACTGTTCCATGTGTGATGCATCAACTTCCTGTCTTTTGTTCCTACGCCACACCTAATTTTTTTTTGCTAAGCTTGTTAGTTTCCATTGTCAAATGTCCAAAATATTCCTTCTTTCTTCTTGAAATCATCCAGGACATAATAGGGATCTCCAAATTCCATAGATCTAATGTTAATTTCAAAGTAATCCAAGGTAAAAAGTCATTTAAAATGTTTCTTTTCCAAACAGAAAGGGAAATCTCTTCAATTGACTCTCCTGCTTAGTCACCGCAGACTCCATGGCAATTATGTAGCCATCCGTCTGTCTTTCTTCATTAGCTTCATTAACTTTCAAAGGTGTAAACTCCTAGAGATACATTTCTCCAATCCACTCCAAATAAAAGAAAAGTCACTTTTCTAAGTTCTTAAAAGCCAATTCTTCCAAGCCAAATTTGCTAAAGCAAGGTCTGTCTTAGGTCTTTATTTCCATTTTTTTCCTCTTTTGATCTTCAAGCCCCACAGATCTGTAGCCGCTATTTAAAGTTTGGGGTCTTATTTTTTTTAAAAAAATCCAAATAATCATGTTGTTTTTCCTAGGTTGGTGTCACTCACCCGGCTTTGAGATACTCGCTCTTTCTTCTTCTTCTCTCCTGCACGATCTTGTGTCCCGGTCTGCCGCGGCTTTGTGGCAGCCGCCATGGCTCCCTACCCCCACCGCTGACTTCGAGGATTCCCTCTGGCCTCCGAGGAACTTGCCTGTTCCTCTTGGCACACTGAGGCGCTCCTCTTCACCCCCCATCCCTGCAAGATGGGGGTCGGTCCGAAGACCGATCGGATGGTGGTTTGTCAGTTGGGGTTTTTGCGGGCTCGTTAGAGATCGCTATTTCCCCAACTGTGGCGCCGCGGCTCCAGACCGGAAGTCCAACATCTTACAACATCTTGAATCCCCAAAGAACTATATAAGGGTCTTTTTTGTAGACTTCATCTTGACATTTAATACCATCATTCCTGAAATCCTCCTCCTTAAACTGACTCAGCTACCTGTGCTTGACCATATTTGTAGATGAATTATAATCTTTCTAACAAATAGGAAGCAGCTGGTGAAGCTAGGGAAAATCACATTGAATACCTATTCAATTAGCACAGGAGCCCCCCAGGGTAGTGTGCTCTCTCCATTACTCTTCTCTCTCTATACCAATGACTACATCTCAAAGGATCCCTCTGTTAAAGTACTGACTTTTGCAGATGATACAACAGTCATTGGTCTTATTCAAGACAATCATGAGTCTGCATATAGACTAGAGGTAGATCCACTGGCAATGTGATGCAGCCAGAACAATCTGGAACTGAAGACTCTTTAAACTGTAGAGATGATAATAGATTTTAGAAGAAGGTCTCCTGTTCTACCACCTCTTACAATATTAGGCAATACAGTGTCAACTATAGAGACCTTCACGTATCTAGGTACTATTATCTCCAAGGACTTGAAATGGACATCTAACATTAGAATCATCATTAAAAAGGCATAACAAAGAATGTTCTTCCTTCATCAACTCAGAAAGCTCAGATTGCCCAAGGATCTGCTGATACAGTTCTGTACAGGAATTACTGAGTCTGTCAATTGTACCTCAATAACTATCTGGTTTGGCACAGCAAACAAACAGGACAAGTACAGACTTCAATGGGTAGTTAGGACTACAGAAAAAACAATCACAACCAGCCTGCCTTCCATTGAGGATCTGTCTATTCTATTCTATTCTATTCTATTCTATTCTATTCTATTCTATTCCTGCATGAACCAAAAAGAGGACTGAAGAAATATCTACAGACCAGGGGTGAAATCTAAATTTTTTTGCTACCGGTTCTGTGGGCGTGGCTTAATTAGTGGGCGGGGCTTGGTAGTAAGGTGACTGGGAGGGTGTGGCTGGTTGGTCAGGTGGGCGTGGCCAAGTCAATGTCACTTCTTTGCCCTTTTTTAACCTACAAAACACAACACAACACAACTGGCTCACCCACAATATAAAAGCAGCTGTGCTAGACCCAAAATGGCCCCTGCAACAAGCAGGAACCTCACACAGCCACAAAAAGCCCAAAAAACCAACTTTCACACTTTACACACACACAACACAACACAACACAACTGGCTCACCCACAATGTAAAAGCAGCTGTGCTAGACCCAAAATGGCCCCTGCAACAAGCAGAAACCTCACACAGCCACAAAAAGCCCAAAAAACCAACTTTCACACTTTACACACACAAAATTCCACATACAGCTTTGTGAGATTTTGTTTGTTTGTGTAGTTAGAGTGAAACATTACAGAAACACACTAAATCTCAGAAAGCTGCACAAATATTATTTTATTTTAATTTATTTTTATTTTTATATAAAAATAGCTAAATTTAAAACTTCCTAAACTTTAAATGGCTAGGTCTAAAAAAAGAACAACTAAAAAAAACCCCAATTAACTATTTTTTTAAAGCTCCCAAAGGGGGAAAAAACTTACCCAATAGAACAGGGGTCT